CCTGTCTCTCCCTGTCTCTCCCTGTCTCTCCCTGTCTCTCCCTGTCTCTCCCTGTCTCTCCCTGTCTCTCCCTGTCTCTCCCTGTCTCTCCTTGTTTCTCCCTGTCTCTCCCTATAATTATTAATTTATTAAAGTATATTTTAATTTAATTTGATTTTTATTTTATTTTTATTTTACATTTTTTATTGTTTTTTATTAGCTATATGAAGCATATTATTTAGAAGAGAATAAGGGTAAGAAAAAAGTAATTTAAAAGGTCATTGTAGTGATAAAGATGCTAAATAACGCGCGCGTAGCGCGCGCCTGCAGTGTTCTAGTATTAAAAAATAAACAAATATTTATTAAATGGATACCGTTAACATTTACTTAAATTAAAATTCTCTTTATTTAAACCGAATATTTTTTATTTGAGCCGAGTAAACAATACTCTGTTTAAATAAAATTTTTATTTAAATAAATACGTTAATGGCATCCACTTAATAAATGTTTGTTAATTTTTAGATATTTTTTTCAGTACACCGTGCGATGCTCGGATTCGCGTTTCGCCACTGACATTTGAGCGCGATCGTTCAATGACACGGTGAAACGCGTTCGATTATGCGACTGCGAGGACATAAAACAAATTCATTGACGCAAGCTCGCGCGCGAGCGTGACCGCATTTACGACGAAAGCTGCGGCAGGATGACGTGAAAAATGCGTTTCGCCCTTTGTAAATACGCGGCGAGGGACGGCGAGATCGATGCTCTTCGACGAGCGCCGCCACGTGTGTCGTTCTATAGGCGAGCTGAAATTCGACCGTTATACCGATACTTCACTTTGATTATCAATATTTGCGGAGCGAGTGAAAGCGTCCGGGCGAATTCGCAGGCAGCTGTTAGGCGGAAATCGAATCGCAGCCGGCGCGCGAAAGGAAGCGAGTCCCGCGACTCCGCCGCGGCCGCCATCTCTTGTGGTGACGTTTGCGCGAGTGACATTCTGCCAATTAATTAATTGATATTTTACGTTTAGCGTAATTAGATGGAATGCGGCTTAATTAGAACGCATTTGCAATTGAACGTTATATTACTTACTAATAATGGTAAATAATGGACAAATGAAACAATATTAATTTACTGATTGAGCGGCGTAATCAATCTGGTGCATTGCGAGATTTCGCGTGTGTCATCCGGTTATCATCGGTCTCGCGGTGAGTTGAGACTGGTCGGCGCTATTTTAGGTTCATGTACGTACGACACGACGATCAACGCGCGGCAGACGTAAATTCACTCGCGGGCACACCGCGCCGTACGACGCTAAAAACGAACGTGTGTAAAGTTCGCACGCAAAGTCGCGTTGCACAGCTGAAGGAAAAACACGTGCC